AATTGTTTTTATTAAACCAGTCGTGTTCTCGTGATAAACGTGAGTCACTACAAACTAAACAAATTGATAAATTATGTAAGAGATCTGCCAAACGCAATGCTCCAACACAATGAAATGGGGGAACACATCAATATGCCTGCCACCAAGACTAAGTATCAACTTAAACAACATAAATATAACTCATTTGGAAACTTGGAAACGCAGTGAAGGTGAAAAGAAAACAAAAACTACAATAAAATACAAATATCACCATCTCGAATGGAATCAAAACGACTGACGGACATACAACTGAACGAATCAATAGAAATAAATTACATATGTAAACATGGAATCATTTCCACACACAAAATCTTCAAAATGGGTCTTACACCTATATTATCGCTTGTCGAAATCGGTAGGTCTAAATACAATACATAGTATTCAGTAGGTTACTAAAACATCTAGTACACACATGAATTCAATGATGATGTGAATGTGTTATATCACATTGACTAAAACAGCAATTAATAGAACTCAGACCACCTAACAACTGAAAACCATAATCGATTCGATTTATTTCACCACAATAATCGATTGCAAGTTTGTGTGCTCAGATGGTATTATTTTCTTGGTCTCAATAGTTCCTGATTCTCAGTCTCGTTCGGTTATCCTAAAATTTATTGGTCACTCACTCGTACGTTTCTTCCTGTGTATTCATTGAGTAATTATAACCTTAAGTAAAGAAAAAGTGAAGGAATTGTCACGCACATTTTACATTCTCGTAGATTTTCTCGATCATAAGTTTGAAACGTAATGCACGATCAAAGTATCTTATTGATTTCCTTTTTATAAAATTGATTTAGTAACATCCGCCGTAACGAAATGCCGACAAGGGTAGATATATTAAACTGAAAATTGTATTCAAGAGAAACTTTTCGAAAGAATGATGTTATTATGATTGCTACCAAAGGTCGAGATCAGTTGAGAGTGGTTTAGTTGGATATGAAAATGTTTTATTTCGTAAGATTGCTGAGAACAAACACTGAGTGAAGTTATTTGAACTTTGATAAACTGACCATATACTTGTAGATTAATAGATAGATGGATAGATAGATTAGTAATGCTGATGACTGAAATGAGTCTTTAATTCGTCACATGGAACATCGATTATTTACAAATGTAGTGGAAAATAAAAGTTATAAATGTGAAGGGGATCTCTGCGGTTACACGAAGTGTCGTGAATCATATAGATTAGTCCATAACGGAAATGTTTAAACAGTCCAATCGATAAAGTAGTTCAAAACTCAAGTTGTCATCAAGGTGACATTATTAACTTTAATTGTACTTCAAGTTTCATGAAATAAACAAGTTTTACATCCTAATATATCTTTACTGGTTTTAAAACTATACTCTTTCCATGATACTAAAATCTCTTCAAATGAGAAGGAAAGAGCTACTGGAGAATCGATGTCATTAAGTAATATTACGAACACTGGAATTTACTCTTCATTGTTCATTCAGTTGATGTGACACTGTCATGCTTTTGAATGTCTGAAAGACGTAAAATCATTTGTTCTTTATGATTCGTTTCTTATCATCGTGATGACTAACAGCTATAGTTGTGAGACTATAATTTATGGACGACCTTTGAGCGACACCAGACTGACCTTGAGACTGTCCTCCTAATAACCAGGATCAAATGAGGGTTATAAACCTGTGTGAGGAATTGGAATTATGATTTACAGTTGATGATTAAGATTAAGAATTAGATTTAAGGTTTTCATCACGAACTGACATCAGCTATAATGTCAGAATTAAGAAAGATTAGTTCAGCGAATTCATTTTGAAAGCTGTACAATGGTAAATATATATACTTATTTTAACAGGACGATAATAATACTGATAATAAACCTGTTATACATGTTGACCGTGAGGTTAAATAAACAAAGTTATTAAAAAATTCTTTAAAAAACAAGGAAAGTTTAATAATCGTTTGATTGTTAATGGCTTAAGTATTTATCAAAGGATAGATAGGGAAATTATCATTGGAATAGGATAGCTCAGCATCATAAGATAAATGTTGAAATTGAGATGAAATGTAATGAGGATAATCGTGGAAACAAAATGAACCAGTTGGGGGTGGAAAATTTAAGAGGAAGATGGAGGGTGAAGCAGATGGTTGTAAAGGAAGAAGAGTATGAAAAAAGGAGGAAGAAGAAAAGAAGGCTTTATGTTCTTATCAATGAAAAAGAAACTTAATAATAACACTCGCGACAAGAATATGACGAATCTGTAGTCACGACTTCATAGATGAAGAATTGGGCCACTTGAAGGTGATACTTAATAAAAACGGATATCCTTCGATATTCATTGATAAGATCATGAAGCCGAAAGCACCGAAAACACAGATAACTACAGTAGTAAAGAAAACTTTATGCATGACCATCGAATTCAAGGGTGACAGAGTCAAACACACCCTAAAAATAAGAGTTTCCGATTCTTTAAAAAGAACATTACGAATTCTTCACCAATAATCTTAAAGATGAATTATCGCATCTGACCAATTCATTGTGCATTTATCAATTTACCTGCTCATGTGGAGCTAGGTATATAGGTCTTTTGATGCGTACTTTATCCAAAAGAACTCAAGAACATTGTCCGGCATGGCTGAAAAGAGAAGGAAGCGGCTCAATAAGAAGCTCAGCTATCGAACACCTTGTGAACGCAGTGTAGATCACCAACGTAGATGATCTATGTCGAAATGATTGGAGGCCTACTCGAGTTAGACGTGAATAGTGTGACGAACCAACTAACGTCGAAGTCACACCTCGTGGTCAGCACCTTACGTGGACTACCCCCATTGACGTAACAAGGTACTATAGATGCTTTGAAGACTGTACAACACAAAGAACGTTATTACAGAAATATATTAGTTGAAGTAGATACAAGCGAAAGTAAGACCACTGCCGCATGGGCCAGTCCATGGCATACCATTAACTAATGTCCGTTTGCTGTACATGACCTTGGCAGGGAGCGACGATCTGTTCGACATTCAGTGGTCCAACTGCCGGATGATTTGGCTAGGGCTCAGTGACATTTCACTGGACCTACAGCAGGTCACTCAATCAAGACAGACTGCATTCAACGTCATCTACAAGGTAAGTAGAAGCCTCTCAAAAACAATTAGACTGCGTCTTCTTTGCATTGCCGAAGCATTAGCCACACATCTGGAAAGACAAGAATTGTGTGTGCAAAAGCGACTGGTACAACCTCTTCTTTTACCATGGTCCTGATATCTGATACACTTTTCTCTTTCTTCATGCTCTTCTTCCTTTACAACCATCTGCTTCACCCTCCATCTTCCTCTTAAATTTTCCACCCCCAACTGGTTCATTTTGTTTCCACGATCATCCTCATTACATTTCATCTCAATTTCAACATTTATCTTATGATGCTGAGCTATCCTATTCCAATGATAATTTCCCTATCTATCCTTTGATAAATACTTAAGCCATTAACAATCAAACGATTATTAAACTTTCCTTGTTTTTTAAAGAATTTTTTAATAACTTTGTTTATTTAACCTCACGGTCAACATGTATAACAGGTTTATTATCAGTATTATTATCGTCCTGTTAAAATAAGTATATATATTTACCATTGTACAGCTTTCAAAATGAATTCGCTGAACTAATCTTTCTTAAATAATGCCAAAACTCTATTTAAGCGAAAAATCGTTGAGTGAATTTCGCTCCAAAATCCGAGACCTGTTATCTTATACCTGATTGGTTCGTCCATAAATTATAATCTTGCCATTTTGATGTTGATTGCTATACTACGACAAATTTTGAGGTGATCAGAAAATTGGGAAATCCCACAATAGGACGAAACGGCCGTCCAGTGCTTCCGGGTTTTCAACGGTGGTCTAACATCAATCGGTTCATGATCTCAATCAAAAACCTAACAATCTCCACAACCCCTAAACTGAAAATTGGGAATTACTGAACTGAGTATGGATCAGTTTGTATCGTTGAACTCGATTAAGTGTATTTATGCAGTTGGAAATGTTGAAATAGTAACTAACCGACTAAATGAATACAGAATTAATCATACAAAACAAACTTTCATAAATTTTGATGTGCGGACCAAAAGGTTTAAGATCAAAACTCATAAATAAACGATATATGTAATCATTATTATCAGTTTATATTTTTCACGGACTGAAAAACAATACATCGACTTTCATTTTCGAGGTTATCACAAATGAACTCCATGGGTAATATGCATTGGACTACAGACCTTTAGGGTTATGTCATTAATCACTTGAAATATATTAAGAGGCAGTGGGAAGTATGTTAAACTATATATAATGTATACATTAAGCTAACTAACATCAAATAGGACGAAACATGTCCTCAATTTCACTGAAAACTACACTTATTTAGAATTATGTTTTTTGGTTAGCGTTATTTTAGCGAGTTAGTTCTCTACGGTATGGGGTCGCTAACCCCATACCCAACCCTCCTCCTTTAGCCGAGCTTGAGACCGGCAGTAATTTTAGAAGAGCTATTACAATCTACATTTAAGTGTCACGTTTATTGTTCATAAAATTCTGTTTCTACTGATATAACATAGTAACAATAATGAATAGTTTTGAATGACCCAATATAGAGACAACATTGCTTTACTCAATGTGTCCTGACATTACTAATATACAGTATATTACTGATTGTAAATATTTATTGGTCAAATGAAAGAATGAATTACACATATAGCTAATGGTATATTCATTGATCATCAAATGACATTCAACTTTTGATATATCTAGCATATCTCGTATCAAATTACTAAACTATATTATTATACAAGGTTATCAATTTGGCGTGATCACCCTTAATCGTTCAGTCTATAATCACACAAGTGGTATGATCAGAGTGTGTGTAGGTTATCATATATATATATCACTAGTATTTATCACAGTAGTATATTTCGAAACTAAGGCTACAAAAATTGATTTTTCTATGTGGTTCACAATTTTTTTCATATTCTTCTGGTCATCAGTTTGTACAGAACATATTCCTCTCAGTAAAATTCATCTGAATCAACATGGAATGTTCACAGATCATCGTGGATTCATTAGATTATTTAGAGGGTTTAACAACGTGAGAAAATCTTTTCCATGGTATGAAGAAAATGCCTTCAATATCACACAAATACAAATGTTCCAGAATTGGGGTTTGAATGTTGTTCGATTAGGTATTATGTGGAGTGGAGTAATGCCAAATATATCAATAGTGAACACTACATATTTAAATCAAATTGAAAAGCTGATTGATTTATATGCTGATCATGGGATTTATGTGATATTAGATATGCATCAAGATGGATTATCTAGCCGATATGGTACTTATGATGGTATACCACTTTGGTTAATTGATCAGTTTAAAAGACCACCATACTTTTTACAAGAGCCTTGGCCGTATAAAAAGTTGCCAGAATGGGATGGAGCATATTATTTAACTTACGAGTGTACTAATGGAGCTCAACAGTTATATGAGAATGTATCAGGTGCTTGGAATCACTGGGGTGATTTTTGGGAAATCGTGGCTAAACAATTTGGTAAAAAGTCAAATGTACTTGGTTATGATTTGATTAATGAACCTCCACCTGGAAACTTTTATTCTAATCCATTACGTGGGTTTTCAGGTAAAGTTGTATTTACTAAATCTATCTTGTGCGAAAATTTAACACTACTTTGAGATTTCAAGTCAATAGATTTGTTTCAGAAGGGGTTTTGTGGAGATGTAGTAATTTCAGTAGTTGAGATCATGAGTCAATTGAAGCTAGACCACCATGGAAAACCTGAACTCCTCAGCAGTGTGCATCCACGATTCTGCCTCGCGGGATTCAAACCTAGTGCTTGATCATTAGACTACTGTGCCGGCATCCGGTGATGTTAATGTCTAGCTTCAACCAATCCACGAAATTGATTGACACATTCACCATTGTCATCAGTGAGTTACTATCTCATAACAGACCTGGCTGAACTCCACTAGTCACTGCTTCTCACTAACCAGTCACTAGTGAGCATATGTTGATTAGTATCAGAGGGGGTTTTGTGGAGATTGTAGTAATTTCAATAGTTGAGATCATGAGGTGTAAGTTTGTTGACTTCTAATATATGTGTCATAGTGATTTCCGGTTAAGTGCAACAAAATGAATTGCATTTGGACCATCACTTCTGATATCGAGTGATAATTAGTAATTTATTATGAACTAAATATAGTAAAATACCTAGAATCTCCACTTAAAATTTTTTCAGATGATTTATGATATGACCTTAAACGTCCTCAACTCGATGTGGATGATGATTGGATCTATATTCATTCAGTCGGTTAGTTACTATTTCAGAATTTCCAAATGCATAAATACACTTATTCGAGTTCATCGAGTTCAACGATACAAATTGATCCATTCTCAATTCAGTAATTCCGAATTTTCTGATCACCTCAATATCTGTCATTGTATAACGGTCATCTCTATAATTGTTAGTTATCATGATGACAGGGAACTAATTATAATGAATAAATGATTTTAAGTCTTTTAGACATTTAATAACTTGACATTGTCATATCAACTGAATGAATAATGAAGAGTAAATTCCAACGTTTTCAATATTACTTAATGACATCGATTCTCCAGTAACTCTTTCCTTCTCATTTGAGATGATGTTAGTATCATGGAAGGGGTTTAGTTTTAAAATTAGTAAAGATATGTTAGGATGTAAAACTTGTTTATTTCATGAAACTTGAAGTACAATTCGAAGCAGCGATGTCACTTACAAGACAGCTTGAATTTTGGACACTTTATCGATTGAACTTGTTAAATATCTACGTTTCGGTCTATTCTATTTGATTCTCTACACTTCGCGTAACCGCAGCGATTCCCTTCACACTAATAACTTTTATCTTCCACTACATTTGCAAATAATCGAAATTCAAGATGTGCTTTCCTTAATAGGCTGTTGTCACTACTTCGTGACTTTTGTCTTAAGATCAACCGAATATCATTTAAAACAGAAACGTATTTCGGTTGCTATTGATATTCGATGAGACACCACTAAGATTATAAGATATAGTACATTCATGAGAGAAACGAATTTGGATCATCGATTGTGTACTATACTGTTTAATTTGGAGAAACATTATTCTTTCATGTTTGTATGGTGGATTTTCTGGTTTCAGGTTATGCTGGTCGATATAATCTACTACCAGTTTACGATTATCTTGTTGAGAGAATACGTAAATATGACAATTCAACATTAATATTCTATGAACCAGTTACATATGGGATATTTACTCCTATAAACCCCTCAGGATGGTTAGGGACTGGATTTCGACGTGCTCCTGGAGCTAATCATGATAAATCAGCACCGAATAAAAGTGTTTTGTCATATCATTATTATTGTTGGGTATTACAAACTGATTATCCGAACTCTACAATGCCTTTTTGGAAGAAAATTATATGTGACTCGGTAAATTTCAAATTCTTTCAAACTCTTAGTTTTCCAACATTAATTATTAAACTGTTGTTCATATTATTGTTGATATAGTGTATCATATTGTTCAGATAACTTTAGTTGATCAGAATGATTAAATACAGGCTAAATCAAATAGGTAGTAAGTACTATGTCATTCAAGATTAGACTCATTTTCTAATCTGTTGAGATATTACGGGCACATATTATTCTATAGTCACAAATTCTTCTCCAAACATGAAATTCTCATTTCACTGTTCCTTTAACTCTTCATTTCTACATTGAGGTGAATTTATAATTCAAGACTATTTGTGTAAATCCCTTGATATTGCTCATGAATAGACAGATAGAATACCTTTTAAATGAGACTAAGTTAACTTATTTTCTAAATTCATTAAATACATAGGATGGGAGTTGATTGATGCTTTCATTCATTATACCATTTACATGTTTTATGTATTTAAGCGTTGACTACCCATTCCCAGATAGTTATAACATTTTAACAAGAGATTTACTCGTGTAGACATATCTGTTACATTCGGGAGGAAAGAACTCAGTGAAGTCACTTAAAAACAGATCGTGATATTAAAAGTAACACAGTGTTCTCCATATCTTAGACATTGACTAGCATTTCAATCTAAATATGGTTTCCTCTCTGGTTGTGAAATAATCAGATACATGCATCTTCACCTTTTTGAATAATGTATATACTGGAGCTGGTTTGCGCGATACCAATAAATCCAGGCTAAACCGGGTCGCCCTTTAAAAAAGCACAAATGTTATCAGATATTGATTGTCTCCAGTATATGTGTTTGCCAAGACTTTTAAATTTTATAGTTAACACCATAATTTGAACTTAACTGGACAAGCATTTAGGACCGAAACCACGAAGCAATTATTTCACCATTGTATTAAATAACAAATCGATCACATATAACACCGTCGAGAAAATACAGACTTTAACAATAAAACCATCAATATCAAGGTGCAGGTTTGAATTGCGAAACGAACATTGATATAGCGGGATGGGTCTCTTGGAAAACAGAAATTAGTGTCTAACGTTATTCAAGAAGACATTGAAGGTCAGAATCCAATACAATCCACTTCTCATACTTCATGGTTGTGTGAAATACTATTTTCATTTCAGTTGTAGTTAATTTTCTCTTCGTCACCGTTATTTTCTTACTTTGACTCATTCATCCTAGTGAAACAGCAACTTATTCACTAGTCCTGTACTATCGATAAAAAATTATGCTTTTGATTGAGATGATGAACCGATTGATTTTAGACCACCATTGAAAAGCTGGAGGCACTGGACGGCCGTTTTGTCCTATTGTGAGGGTCCTCAGGAAGTGGCATCCACGATCCCGCTTGAGGGATTCTAGCTCAGAGCATTCATTCTCGCGCGCGAACGCTTAGCCTCTAGACCACTGAAATTGCCGGCATTCAAAGGTGTAAATGTCTTGCCTCAAACAATCCACGAAATTGCGCGACCGTCTTCCATTGTACTGAGATAAATACCTGTCTCTACCCGACACGGATTAGTTCCACTGGCACAGCTTCTCACATGAAATCCGAGAATTCCCTCACGAAGCTAGTCACTAGTGAGCACATGGTTAAACGTTCGCGCGCGAGACTGAAGGCCCTGAGTTTGAATCCCGCAAGCCAAATCATGGATGCGCACTGCTGGGGAGTCCTACAATAGGACGAAACGACCGTCCAGTGCCTCCAGGCTTTCAATGGTAGTCTAACATTAATAGGTTCATGATCTCGATCAATAACTTAATAATCGCCACAACCCTACACTGACAGAAAAATTATGCCTCTAAATCATTCACTATCTAATTTTTTTTCGGATGGAACAATGTTCATTATGTATGGTTGAAAACATTGATTATTTACATTGCTATTTGCTTTTCAAATTACATTTAGTTCCTCTTACCAACTGTGATATCCAATGCAATTAAAGCAACAAAAATAACTGGAGGTGGTAGATTTTTAACTGAATTCGGTTTGTGTGGAGATGATGGAAATCCACGTAGTGTAAACACATTGGAATGTAATGCGGTATTGGATGAAGCTGATAAACATTTTGAATCATGGACATATTGGGATGGGAACTTTTTAGATGAATTAGGAAATCCTATTAAAAGTGAGGTAATAAAATTTTGAACTTAAGTGTTCAATAGTATTTTTGTTCGAATTTGAGGTAATTTAGTGAATTTGTTTAATGGTACTGATGAATCCAGAAGTTTACACCTCAAATAAAGTCGGATGTTTATCCAGAAGGATAACAAATGTTTAAGAACTGAAATACCAACGTTATAGGAGCTGGGCTGTATTAACTCAATCGAATTAGTCAGAAAGTGTCACTTAGTTGTTCACTGTAGACTAATGCAATGGGTATGTGCCACCACAATCATTTTGATTGGATTTGCAGTTTCGACAGTTCAGTAAGTACTAAAATACTCAGCAACTTTATATAATGCTGGCTTGAAACTGAATGAATGTGATGACCAATTTGTACATGCACGAATAGTTCAAATGACTCGTAATGAGTATGATCCAGTGTATTGTTTCTCATTGTTCATCTTTCTTTCCTTTTTCTCCCACGCCCATAGGTGGAATCTTTCATTCGTTCTTATCCCCAATCAACAAATGGGATATTTCGTAAACAACAATTCAATTATAAAACCGGAAATTTTAGTTTCTCCTTCATTACAAACCAGTCGAGTAATCAGTATAGTAAGAAACAGATTTTAATTGCAGAAATTTACATACCATTATCTGTACATTATCCAAATGGATTTTCAATGAACATAAAACCAAACAATTTAATTACTGAAATGAAGGGAAATATACTGTCTTTATACTTGCCAACTGATGTAGGGAATAAACATGTACTCGTTGACATTGAGATTGTTAGAAAATAACACAAGTTGGACATGATTTGACAAACTATCATTGTCATTATTCAAACGATTATTCATTAACATTTGAATGAACAGTTGAAATATAATTTTATACAAATAATACCATTGTTGTTAGTTGTTGATATTTATGACAATATAATTAGAATAAACGATTCACTTGATGACTTTTATACTTTCTATTCTTTTTAGTCTGTCATTCGTTAGGATCTATTCAGATGAAACAACAAAATCATTTCCACATCGTGGAAATTCTTCATTTCATAATAAATCAGTCAGTCAGTCAGCTACAACGTAGGATCAGGCATATATATGCACTGGTCCAATTTGCCATACCTTATTAGCACAACAAGATGAACACCAAATTCACAGAAGTAGTTGCTTTAATGGTGGTAATATATAAAAGGAAGATTGCATATAAGTGTACACCTATGCCATTGTGAGTCTCCAAACATTGGTTACGATAGTTACGCGGACCGCAACCAAGTAGTCTGCATCTACTAACATGGCTCATAATACATACTCTTACTCTCCACACGTGCTCGTACAGCCATTACTGATCAGTGTACGTGACCAAGTAGGATGGGCAATGAACCTGAACTTTCTCTCTTCGATATAAGATGTCAATTGAGCTACATATGCATCAGCCTCCGTAGGAGCAGATGAATTTCTAAGTGTTCATGCAAGATGAGAGTGATTTTTCTTTGGATTGTTGACTAATATGGGTCAACTGGACGACAACCACAACTTTAGTTCAACTAATGGCTTATAAATTGCAAAATATGTGTACAAGTGCGGCTGAATAAAAAAGTGGGCATAGGATAGGTAACTGATTGTTTTTGCAGATTGAGCTTCTTATTGTTGTCAACAAATCTCTCTGATTATGCATGTTCGATAAGAACGTTTTTCTAAAGGACTTACTCTCCGTTTATGAAATCAAGACTGAGGATTCACTGAATTGATGTTACGACTGGTACAATTAAGTTTGCCTTCTTTCTAGCAAAAGCCCAGCTGTAGAAGCTTGCTGGGCGGTCACTTCATCAAAGCTTTCTGTAAACGAATCTTCTCACAGTTGTATAAGGTTTGTTTGCCATCTCCTTATTAAGAAGTTGTGATTTTGTTTTGCGCTTCAAGTGTGAACTGTAATGCTGGATGTCAACTGTAGAAAGTCTATGGAATATTATTTGAGCCATATCTATACTACCGTTCACTTTTCACAACTAACCTATTATACTCGCAGCAGCCAATTAGATGTTGCATCACATCTGATGTATAAATTTATCTGAAGTACTAACAGAGTTCAATGTTTCCAAACTGTAAGCTTAGTTCCTGTCCAATCAATGCACCCTTGATAAAATTTGTCAGATTATCAGTTTAAATTACGAACCATTCTTAGCTAGACATCCATGGAGAACATAGTGGCATTAGACTGCAGGTTCTCTCTGATATGGGTCTTATCAACAATGTGTATCCACAACCCCCATTCAAAAGTGGAAAACAGGGACTTCGGTCTCCTGCGTGAACCCTTAATTTTTAGACCATGAGTCAGCTGACATGGGTCGTCAGTAGAAATTACAATATAACGATCCTTATATTTAAAGCAATTAGTCCTTTTTATAAATTTCGATAGAATAATGAGAAGACGGAGTTTATCTGAAAAATGTGATGTATTTGCACCATACATTTTGAACAATTTGGTCACACATATACTTGTCAGGGCATTTTTATATGAAAATTAATAAAGGTCAATTAAGTGAAAATTCAAGTAAAATAACAAAGGAGAGAGAGAATAAGAAATCGTCGCGTTATCCTTGGCCATAGAATGACTTAAGGACTACCAAGGTAAATTCAAGGTTACGACATATTGTTTTTGTACACACAAGGGAGGTTTAAATTTACGAATAGCCAAGGCTTCAATAAACTTAAGAATTCGTCCTTGACAGTTTCTATACAACGTTCTAAAAGCTGTATTAATGTCAATTTTGTGTCCCGTCTCAATTATATGTTTCGCTATCGATGAACCTGGTTTTCTACCTCCCACATTGATCGGATCATTTGACACACATTGATTTTGAAGCCATCTAGGCACATGTTCATTGACCCTTGATTGTAATGTTCGATTACTACTCCCTATGTATGTGTGTCCACACAAACATGTAAATTGGTAAATACAATGGGATGTGACGTGTTCATTAGTGCATTGTTTGGGTCTATTAGGAATCATGGGCTTAGACTTTTCAATCACAACTAACTGAGCAGCATAATAGGAATTCTCGATGGCTGCTTTCAATCTCTGTCTTAAAACTATGCTGTTGGATTCACCTCTATATGGAACTGAATAAACAAGAGGTCTTGGTACTAACTTACTTGCACCTATTAATAAACTTTAGTGGATAACCATTTGCTATTAATGTGTCAGTCAGCAACTTTAAATCTTTTTCCACCGTGTCAGAAGTACAAATTCTTTGAGTCCTCTCAAAGAGACACTTAACCAGGCCTCGCTTATATTGCGATGGTCACACATACATAGGGAGTAGTAATCGAACATTACAATCAAGGGTCAATGAACATGTGCCTAGATGGCTTCAAAATCAATGTGTGTCAAATGATCCGATCAATGTGGGAGGTAGAAAACCAGGTTCATCGATAGCGAAACATATAATTGAGACGGGACACAAAATTGACATTAATACAGCTTTTAGAACGTTGTATAGAAACTGTCAAGGACGAATTCTTAAGTTTATTGAAGCCTTGGCTATTCGTAAATTTAAACCTCCCTTGTGTGTACAAAAACAATATGTCGTAACCTTGAATTTACCTTGGTAGTCCTTAAGTCATTCTATGGCCAAGGATAACGCGACGATTTCTTATTCTCTCTCTCCTTTGTTATTTTACTTGAATTTTCACTTAATTGACCTTTATTAATTTTCATATAAAAATGCCCTGACAAGTATATGTGTGACCAAATTGTTCAAAATGTATGGTGCAAATACATCACATTTTTCAGATAAACTCCGTCTTCTCATTATTCTATCGAAATTTATAAAAAGGACTAATTGCTTTAAATATAAGGATCGTTATATTGTAATTTCTACTGACGACCCATGTCAGCTGACTCATGGTCTAAAAATTAAGGGTTCACGCAGGAGACCGAAGTCCCTGTTTTCCACTTTTGAATGGGGGTTGTGGATACACATTGTTGATAAGACCCATATCAGAGAGAACCTGCAGTCTAATGCCACTATGTTCTCCATGGATGTCTAGCTAAGAATGGTTCGTAATTTAAACTGATAATCTGACAAATTTTATCAAGGGTGCATTGATTGGACAGGAACTAAGCTTACAGTTTGGAAACATTGAACTCTGTTAGTACTTCAGATAAATTTATACATCAGATGTGATGCAACATCTAATTGGCTGCTGCGAGTATAATAGGTTAGTTGTGAAAAGTGAACGGTAGTATAGATATGGCTCAAATAATATTCCATAGACTTTCTACAGTTGACATCCAGCATTACAGTTCACACTTGAAGCGCAAAACAAAATCACAACTTCTTAATAAGGAGATGGCAAACAAACCTTATACAACTGTGAGAAGATTCGTTTACAGAAAGCTTTGATGAAGTGACCGCCCAGCAAGCTTCTACAGCTGGGCTTTTGCTAGAAAGAAGGCAAACTTAATTGTACCAGTCCTAACATCAATTCAGTGAATCCTCAGTCTTGATTTCATAAACGGAGAGTAAGTCCTTTAGAAAAACGTTCTTATCGAACATGCATAATCAGAGAGATTTGTTGACAACAATAAGAAGCTCAATCTGCAAAAACAATCAGTTACCTATCCTATGCCCACTTTTTTATTCAGCCGCACTTGTACACATATTTTGCAATTTATAAGCCATTAGTTGAACTAAAGTTGTGGTTGTCGTCCAGTTGACCCATATTAGTCAACAATCCAAAGAAAAATCACTCTCATCTTGCATGAACACTTAGAAATTCATCTGCTCCTACGGAGGCTGATGCATATGTAGCTCAATTGACATCTTATATCGAAGAGAGAAAGTTCAGGTTCATTGCCCATCCTACTTGGTCACGTACACTGATCAGTAATGGCTGTACGAGCACGTGTGGAGAGTAAGAGTATGTATTATGAGCCATGTTAGTAGATGCAGACTACTTGGTTGCGGTCCGCGTAACTATCGTAACCAATGTTTGGAGACTCACAATGGCATAGGTGTACACTTATATGCAATCTTCCTTTTATATATTACCACCATTAAAGCAACTACTTCTGTGAATTTGGTGTTCATCTTGTTGTGCTAATAAGGTATGGCAAATTGGACCAGTGCATATATATGCCTGATCCTACGTTGTAGCTGACTGACTGACTGATTTATTATGAAATGAAGAATTTCCACGATGTGGAAATGATTTTGTTGTTTCATCTGAATAGATCCTAACGAATGACAGACTAAAAAGAATAGAAAGTATAAAAGTCATCAAGTGAATCGTTTATTCTAATTATATTGTCATAAATATCAACAACTAACAACAATGGTATTATTTGTATAAAATTATATTTCAACTGTTCATTCAAATGTTAATGAATAATCGTTTGAATAATGACAATGATAGTTTGTCAAATCATGTCCAACTTGTGTTATTTTCTAACAATCTCAATGTCAACGAGTACATGTTTATTCCCTACATCAGTTGGCAAGTATAAAGACAGTATATTTCCCTTCATTTCATTAATTAAATTGTTTGGTTTTATGTTCATTGAAAATCCATTTGGATAATGTACAGATAATGGTATGTAAATTTCTGCAATTAAAATCTGTTTCTTACTATACTGATTACTCGACTGGTTTGTAATGAAGGAGAAACTAAAATTTCCGGTTTTATAATTGAATTGTTGTTTACGAAATATCCCATTTGTTGATTGGGGATAAGAACGAATGAAAGATTCCACCTATGGGCGTGGGAGAAAAAGGAAAGAAAGATGAACAATGAGAAACAATACACTGGATCATACTCATTACGAGTCATTTGAACTATTCGTGCATGTACAAATTGGTCATCACATTCATTCAGTTTCAAGCCAGCATTATATAAAGTTGCTGAGTATTTTAGTACTTACTGAACTGTCGAAACTGCAAATCCAATCAAAATGATTGTGGTGGCACATACCCATTGCATTAGTCTACAGTGAACAACTAAGTGACACTTTCTGACTAATTCGATTGAGTTAATACAGCCCAGCTCCTATAACGTTGGTATTTCAGTTCTTAAACATTTGTTATCCTTCTGGATAAACATCCGACTTTATTTGAGGTGTAAACTTCTGGATTCATCAGTACCATTAAACAAATTCACTAAATTACCTCAAATTCGAACAAAAATACTATTGAACACTTAAGTTCAAAATTTTATTACCTCACTTTTAATAGGATTTCCTAATTCATCTAAAAAGTTCCCATCCCAATATGTCCATGATTCAAAATGTTTATCAGCTTCATCCAATACCGCATTACATTCCAATGTGTTTACACTACGTGGATTTCCATCATCTCCACACAAACCGAATTCAGTTAAAAATCTACCACCTCCAGTTATTTTTGTTGCTTTAATTGCATTGGATATCACAGTTGGTAAGAGGAACTAAATGTAATTTGAAAAGCAAATAGCAATGTAAATAATCAATGTTTTCAACCATACATAATGAACAACATTGTTCCATCCGAAAAAAAATTAGATAGTGAATGATTTAGAGGCATAATTTTTCTGTCAGTATAGGGTTGTGGCGATTATTAAGTTATTGATCGAGATCATGAACCTATTAGTGTTAGACTACCATTGAAAGCCTGGAGGCACTGGACGGTCGTTTCGTCCTATTGTAGGACTCCCCAGCAGTGCGCATCCATGATTTGGCTTGCGGGATTCAAACTCAGGGCCTTCAGTCTCGCGCGCGAACGTTTAACCATGTGCTCACTAGTGACTAGCTTCGTGAGGGAATTCTCGGATTTCATGTGAGAAGCTGTGCCAGTGGAACTAATCCGTGTCGGGTAGAGACAGGTATTTATCTCAGTACAATGGAAGACGGTCGCGCAATTTCGTGGATTGTTTGAGGCAAGACATTTACACCTTTGAATGCCGGCAATTTCAGTGGTCTAGAGGCTAAGCGTTCGCGCGCAAGAATGAATGCTCTGAGCTAGAATCCCTCAAGCGGGATCGTGGATGCCACTTCCTGAGGACCCTCACAATAGGACAAAACGGCCGTCCAGTGCCTCCAGCTTTTCAATGGTGGTCTAAAATCAATCGGTTCATCATCTCAATCAAAAGCATAATTTTTTATCGATAGTACAGGACTAGTGAATAAGTTGCTGTTTCACTAGGATGAATGAGTCAAAGTAAGAAAATAACGGTGACGAAGAGAAAATTAACTACAACTGAAATGAAAATAGTATTTCACACAACCATGAAGTATGAGAAGTGGATTGTATTGAATTCTGACCTTCAATGTCTTCTTGAATAACGTTAGACACTAATTTCTGTTTTCCAAGAGACCCATCCCGCTATATCAATGTTCGTTTCGCAATTCAAACCTGCACCTTGATATTGATGGTTTTATTGTTAAAGTCTGTATTTTCTCGACGGTGTTATATGTGATCGATTTGTTATTTAATACAATGGTGAAATAATTGCTTCGTGGTTTCGGTCCTAAATGCTTGTCCAGTTAAGTTCAAATTATGGTGTTAACTATAAAATTTAAAAGTCTTGGCAAACACATATACTGGAGACAATCAATATCTGATAACATTTGTGCTTTTTTAAGGGGCGACCCGGTTTAACCTGGATTTATTGGTATCGCGCAAACCAGCTCCAGTATATACATTATTCAAAAAGGTGAAGATGCATGTATCTGATTATTTCACAACCAGAGAGGAAACCATATTTAGATTGAAATGCTAGTCAATGTCTAAGATATGGAGAACACTGTGTTACTTTTAATATCACGATCTGTTTTTAAGTGACTTCACTGAGTTCTTTCCTCCCGAATGTAACAGATATGTCTACACGAGTAAATCTCTTGTTAAAATGTTATAACTATCTGGGAATGGGTAGTCAACGCTTAAATACATAAAACATGTAAATGGTATAATGAATGAAAGCACCAATCAACTCCCATCCTATGTATTTAATGAATTTAGAAAATAAGTTAACTTAGTCTCATTTAAAAGGTATTCTATCTGTCTATTCATGAGCAATATCAAGGGATTTACACAAATAGTCTTGAATTATAAATTCACCTCAATGTAGAAATGAAGAGTTTAAGGAACAGTGAAATGAGAATTTCATGTTTGGAGAAGAATTTGTGACTATAGAATAATATGTGCCCGTAATATCTCAACAGATTAGAAAATGAGTCTAATCTTGAATGACATAGTACTTACTACCTATTTGATTTAGCCTGTATTTAATCATTCTGATCAACTAAAGTTATCTGAACAATATGATACACTATATCAACAATAATATGAACAACAGTTTAACAATTAATGTTGGAAAACTAAGAGTTTGAAAGAATTTGAAATTTACCGAGTCACATATAATTTTCTTCCAAAAAGGCATTGTAGAGTTCGGATAATCAGTTTGTAATACCCAACAATAATAATGATATGACAAAACACTTTTATTCGGTGCTGATTTATCATGATTAGCTCCAGGAGCACGTCGAAATCCAGTCCCTAACCATCCTGAGGGGTTTATAGGAGTAAATATCCCATATGTAACTGGTTCATAGAATATTAATGTTGAATTGTCATATTTACGTATTCTCTCAACAAGATAATCGTAAACTGGTAGTAGATTATATCGACCAGCATAACCTGAAACCAGAAAATCCACCATACAAACATGAAAGAATAATGTTTCTCCAAATTAAACAGTATAGTACAGAATCGATGATCCAAATTCGTTTCTCTCATGAATGTACTATATCTTATAATCTTAGTGGTGTCTCATCGAATATCAATAGCAACCGAAATACGTTTCTGTTTTAAATGATATTCGGTTGATCTTAAGACAAAAGTCACGAAGTAGTGACAACAGCCTATTAAGGAAAGCACATCTTGAATTTCGATTATTTGCAAATGTAGTGGAAGATAAAAGTTATTAGTGTGAAGGGAATCGCTGCGGTTACGCGAAGTGTAGAGAATCAAATAGAATAGACCGAAACGTAGATATTTAACAAGTTCAATCGATAAAGTGTCCAAAATTCAAGCTGTCTTGTAAGTGACATCGCTGCTTCGAATTGTACTTCAAGTTTCATGAAATAAACAAGTTTTACATCCTAACATATCTTTACTAATTTTAAAACTAAACCCCTTCCATGATACTAACATCATCTCAAATGAGAAGGAAAGAGTTACTGGAGAATCGATGTCATTAAGTAATATTGAAAACGTTGGAATTTACTCTTCATTATTCATTCAGTTGATATGACAATGTCAAGTTATTAAATGTCTAAAAGACTTAAAATCATTTATTCATTATAATTAGTTCCCTGTCATCATGATAACTAACAATTATAGAGATGACCGTTATACAATGACAGATATTGAGGTGATCGGAAAATTGGGAATTACTGAATTGAGAATGGATCAATTTGTATCGTTGAACTCGATGAACTCGAATAAGTGTATTTATGCATTTGGAAATTCTGAAATAGTAACTAACCGACTGAATGAATATAGATCCAATCATCATCCACATCGAGTTGAGGACGTTTAAGGTCATATCATAAATCATCTGAAAAAATTTTAAGTGGAGATTCTAGGTATTTTACTATATTTAGTTCATAATAAATTACTAATTATCACTCGATATCATTTTGTTGCACTTAACCGGAAATCACTATGACACATATATTAGAAGTCAACAAACTTACACCTCATGATCTCAACTATTGAAATTACTACAATCTCCACAAAACCCCTTCTGATACTAATCAACATATGCTCACTAGTGACTGGTTAGTAAGAAGCAGTGACTAGTGGAGTTCAGCCAGGTCTGTTATGAGATAGTAACTCACTGATGACAATGGTGAATGTGTCAATCAATTTCGTGGATTGGTTGAAGCTAGACATTAACATCACCGGATGCCGGCACAGTAGTCTAATGATCAAGCACTAGGTTTGAATCCCGCGAGGCAGGATCGTGGATGCACACTGCTGAGGAGTCCAGGTTTTCCATGGTGGTCTAGCTTCAATTGACTCATGATCTCAACTACTGAAATTACTACATCTCCACAAAACCCCTTCTGAAACAAATCTATTGACTTGAAATCTCAAAGTAGTGTTAAATTTTCGCACAAGATAGATTTAGTAAATACAACTTTACCTGAAAACCCACGTAATGGATTAGAATAAAAGTTTCCAGGTGGAGGTTCATTAATCAAATCATAACCAAGTACATTTGACTTTTTACCAAATTGTTTAGCCACGATTTCCCAAAAATCACCCCAGTGATTCCAAGCACCTGATACATTCTCATATAACTGTTGAGCTCCATTAGTACACTCGTAAGTTAAATAATATGCTCCATCCCATTCTGGCAACTTTTTATACGGCCAAGGCTCTTGTAAAAAGTATGGTGGTCTTTTAAACTGATCAATTAACCAAAGTGGTATACCATCATAAGTACCATATCGGCTAGATAATCCATCTTGATGCATATCTAATATCACATAAATCCCATGATCAGCATATAAATCAATCAGCTTTTCAATTTGATTTAAATATGTAGTGTTCACTATTGATATATTTGGCATTACTCCACTCCACATAATACCTAATCGAACAACATTCAAACCCCAATTCTGGAACATTTGTATTTGTGTGATATTGAAGGCATTTTCTTCATACCATGGAAAAGATTTTCTCACGTTGTTAAACCCTCTAAATAATCTAATGAATCCACGATGATCTGTGAACATTCCATGTTGATTCAGATGAATTTTACTGAGAGGAATATGTTCTGTACAAACTGATGACCAGAAGAATATGAAAAAAATTGTAAACCACATAGAAAAATCAATTTTTGTAGCCTTAGTTTCGAAATATACTACTGTGATAAATACTAGTGATATATATATATATGATAACCTACACACACTCTGATCATACCACTTGTGTGATTATAGACTGAACGATTAAGGGTGATCACGCCAAATTGATAACCTTGTATAATAATATAGTTTAGTAATTTGATACGAGATATGCTAGATATATCAAAAGTTGAATGTCATTTGATGATCAATGAATATACCATTAGCTATATGTGTAATTCATTCTTTCATTTGACCAATAAATATTTACAATCAGTAATATACTGTATATTAGTAATGTCAGGACACATTGAGTAAAGCAATGTTGTCTCTATATTGGGTCATTCAAAACTATTCATTATTGTTACTATGTTATATCAGTAGAAACAGAATTTTATGAACAATAAACGTGACACTTAAATGTAGATTGTGGTAGCTCTTCTAAAATTACTGCCGGTCTCAAGCTCGGCTAAAGGAGGAGGGTTGGGTATGGGGTTAGCGACCCCATACCGTAGAGAACTAACTCGCTAAAATAACGCTAACCAGAAAACATAATTCTAAATAAGTGTAGTTTTCAGTGAAATTGAGGACATGTTTCGTCCTATTTGATGTTAGTTAGCTTAATGTATACATTATATATAGTTTAACATACTTCCCACTCCCTCTTAATATATTTCAAGTGATTAATGACATAACCCTAAAGGTCTGTAGTCCAATGCATATTACCCATGGAGTTCATTTGTGATAACCTCGAAAATGAAAGTCGATGTATTGTTTTTCAGTCCGTGAAAAATATAAACTGATAATAATGATTACATATATCGTTTATTTATGAGTTTTGATCTTAAACCTTTTGGTCCGCACATCAAAATTTATGAAAGTTTGTTTTGTATGATTAATTCTGTATTCATTTAGTCGGTTAGTTACTATTTCAACATTTCCAACTGCATAAATACACTTAATCGAGTTCAACGATACAAACTGATCCATACTCAGTTCAGTAATTCCCAATTTTCAGTTTAGGGGTTGTGGAGATTGTTAGGTTTTTTATTGAGATCATGAACCGATTGATGTTAGACCACCGTTGAAAACCCGGAAGCACTGGACGGCCGTTTCGTCCTATTGTGGGATTTCCCAATTTTCTGATCACCTCAAAATTTGTCGTAGTATAGCAATCAACATCAAAATGGCAAGACTATAATTTATGGACGAACCAATCAGGTATAAGATAACAGGTCTCGGATTTTGGAGCGAAATTCACTCAACGATTTTTCGCTTAAATAGAGTTTTGGCATTATTTAAGAAAGATTAGTTCAGCGAATTCATTTTGAAAGCTGTACAATGGTAAATATATATACTTATTTTAACAGGACGATAATAATACTGATAATAAACCTGTTATACATGTTGACCGTGAGGTTAAATAAACAAAGTTATTAAAAAATTCTTTAAAAAACAAGGAAAGTTTAATAATCGTTTGATTGTTAATGGCTTAAGTATTTATCAAAGGATAGATAGGGAAATTATCATTGGAATAGGATAGCTCAGCATCATAAGATAAATGTTGAAATTGAGATGAAATGTAATGAGGATGATCGTGGAAACAAAATGAACCAGTTGGGGGTGGAAAATTTAAGAGGAAGATGGAGGGTGAAGCAGATGGTTGTAAAGGAAGAAGAGCATGAAGAAAGAGAAAAGTGTATAAGATATCAGGACCATGGTAAAAGAAGAGGTTGTACCAGTCGCTTTTGCACACACAATTCTTGTCTTTCCAGATGTGTGGCTAATGCTTCGGCAATGCAAAGAAGACGCAGTCTAATTGTTTTTGAGAGGCTTCTACTTACCTTGTAGATGACGTTGAATGCAGTCTGTCTTGATTGAGTGACCTGCTGTAGGTCCAGTGAAATGTCACTGAGCCCTAGCCAAATCATCCGGCAGTTGGACCACTGAATGTCGAACAGATCGTCGCTCCCTGCCAAGGTCATGTACAGCAAACGGACATTAGTTAATGGTATGCCATGGACTGGCCCATGCGGCAGTGGTCTTACTTTCGCTTGTATCTACTTCAACTAATATATTTCTGTAATAACGTTCTTTGTGTTGTACAGTCTTCAAAGCATCTATAGTACCTTGTTACGTCAATGGGGGTAGTCCACGTAAGGTGCTGACCACGAGGTGTGACTTCGACGTTAGTTGGTTCGTCACACTATTCACGTCTAACTCGAGTAGGCCTCCAATCATTTCGACATAGATCATCTACGTTGGTGATCTACACTGCGTTCACAAGGTGTTCGATAGCTGAGCTTCTTATTGAGCCGCTTCCTCCTCTTTTCAGCCATGCCGGACAATGTTCTTGAGTTCTTTTGGATAAAGTACGCATCAAAAGACCTATATACCTAGCTCCACATGAGCAGGTAAATTGATAAATGCACAATGAATTGGTCAGATGCGATAATTCATCTTTAAGATTATTGGTGAAGAATTCGTAATGTTCTTGCGTTGCTGAGTGTGATTGCCATCACTAATTAGATCATCCGGTAAAAAACACTTCGTCTTTTCAGTTGAACAAATATTCTCTGAAATTTGATTATAAATCTTAGTTCGTGCTTCAAATTATTCTTCGGAGCAGCAAACAAACGCATCTAGATTTCCTCCAGAGACCATAAGTATTCAAAAACTGAAATTTATTTTAAGTGAGAATTAAGCAGAAAGTTTGCTAGTTAGTTTCCATTAAACCATCGCTTGAAATGAGCCCTCAACGCTCACAAGTGGCTGACAAAACACACGTTATAACAAAGTGGAAAGTAAAAGTTAGTTACTCATCACGTGTATCACAAATCCATAAAATCTTCGCTGATAGTCGTGTCGTAATCGAATATAACGTAGTGGAAAACATAGTTTGGCATTTAACGACACTCATACAACACAAGTAAGTCAAAATAAAATTGCACATTGTTTCATTTACACATAGTTGAATTTGTCTTGGTAAATTGATGGTCTGTATTACCATAGATGTGATATCGTTACAAACACATCAGATGAGCAGGTAGTGGTGGAAATGTTGTCACAGATTTCACAGAGTACGCGTTGACGAATGAAGGACTCATTTCAGTCATCAGCATTATCAATCTATCCACACATCTATCTATCCATCTATCTATTAATCAGCAAGTATATGGTCAGTTTATCAAAGTTCAAATAACGATTATTAAACTTTCCTTGTTTTTTAAAGAATTTTTTAATAACTTTGTTTATTTAACCTCACGGTCAACATGTATAACAGGTTTATTATCAGTATTATTATCGTCCTGTTAAAATAAGTATATATATTTACCATTGTACAGCTTCGCTGAACTAATCTTTCTTAATTCTGACATTATAGCTGATGTCAGTTCGTGATGAAAACCTTAAATCTAATTCTTAATCTTAATCATCAACTGTAAATCATAATTCCAATTCCTCACACAGGTTTATAACCCTCATTTGATCCTGGTTATTAGGAGGACAGTCTCAAGGTCAGTCTGGTGTCGCTCAAAGGTCGTCCATAAATTATAGTCTCACAACTATAGCTGTTAGTCATCACGATGATAAGAAACGAATCATAAAGAACAAATGATTTTACGTCTTTCAGACATTCAAAAGCATGACAGTGTCACATCAACTGAATGAACAATGAAGAGTAAATTCCAGTGTTCGCAATATTACTTAATGACATCGATTCTCCAGTAGCTCTTTCCTTCTCATTTGAAGAGATTTTAGTATCATGGAAAGAGTATAGTTTTAAAACCAGTAAAGATATATTAGGATGTAAAACTTGTTTATTTCATGAAACTTGAAGTACAATTAAAGTTAATAATGTCACCTTGATGACAACTTGAGTTTTGAACTACTTTATCGATTGGACTGTTTAAACATTTCCGTTATGGACTAATCTATATGATTCATGACACTTCGTGTAACCGCAGAGATCCCCTTCACATTTATAACTTTTATTTTCCACTACATTTGTAAATAATCGATGTTCCATGTGACGAATAAAGGACTCATTTCAGTCCTCAGCATTATCAATCTATCCACACATCTATCTATCCATCTATCTATTAATCAGCAAGTATATGGTCAGTTTATCAAAGTTCAAATAACTTCACTCAGTGTTTGTTCTCATCAATCTTACGAAATAAAACATTTTCATATCCAACTAAACCACTCTCAACTGATTTCGACCTTTGGTAGCAATCATAATAACATCATTCTTTCGAAAAGTTTCTCTTGAATACAATTTTCAGTTTAATATATCTACCCTTGTCGGCATTTCGTTACGGCGGATGTTACTAAATCAATTTTATAAAAAGGAAATCAATAAGGTACTTTGATCGTGCATTACGTTTCAAACTTATGATCGAGAAAATCTACGAGAATGTAAAATGTGCGTGGCAATTCCTTCACTTTTTCTTTACTTAAGGTTATAATTACTCAATGAATACACAGGAAGAAACGTACGAGTGAGTGACCAATAAATTTTAGGATAACCGAAAGAACTATTGAGACCAAGAAAATAATACCATCTGAGCACACAAACTTGCAATCGATTATTGTGGTGAAATAAATCGAATCGATTATGGTTTCCAGTTGTTAAGTGGTCTGAGTTCTATTAATTGCTGTTTTAGTCAATGTGATATAACACATTCACATCATCATTGAATTCATGTGTGTACTAGATGTTTTAGTGACCTACTGAATACTATGTATTGTATTTAGACCTACCGATTTCAACAAGCGATAATATAGGTGTAAGACCCATTTTGAAGATTTTGTGTGTGGAAATGATTCCATGTTTACATATGTAATTTATTTCTATTGATTCGTTCAGTTGTATGTCCGTCAGTCGTTTTGATTCCATTCGAGATGGTGATATTTGTATTTTATTGTAGTTTTTGTTTTCTTTTCACCTTCACTGCGTTTCCAAGTTTCCAAATGAGTTATATTTATGTTGTTTAAGTTGATACTTAGTCTTGGTGGCAGGCATATTGATGTGTTCCCCCATTTCATTGTGTTGGAGCATTGCGTTTGCCAGATCTCTTACATAATTTATCAATTTGTTTAGTTATTGTAATTTAGATTTGACTATTGATTGAACAATTATTGATTGAATAACTGTCTGGTAATATTTGTTTAGTTAATAATATACATTTATACATATAATGAATTCTGAAATCGTCAATTAGTCAATTACCTTGTTT